TCCCTGTCTTCTTCCCTCTTTCTCCCTCCTTCTCCCCCTCCCTCTCTCTCCTTCACTCCCTCTCCCCCTCCCTCTCTCTCCTTCACTCCCCCTCCCCCTCCCTCTTTCTCCACCCCCTCCACCCCTCCCTCTCTCTCCTTCACTCCCTCTCCCCCTCCCTCTTCTCCCGTCCCTCTCCCCCTCCCTCTTTCTCCCTCCCTCTCCCCCCCTCCATCTTCTCACGCCCCCCTACCCCCTCCCTCTTTCCGTCCCACCCTCTCCCCTCCCTCTCTCTCCTATCACCTCCCGCTCCCCCTCCCTCTTTTCCTCCCTCCCTCTCCCCCTCCCTCTCTCTTCCTTCATCGCCCCTCCCCCTCCCTCTTCTCCCACCTGCTCACCCCCTCCCTCTCGTCTCCTTCACTCCCTCTCCCACCTCCCTCTTCTCCCTCCCTACTCCCCTCCGCTCTCTTCACCTCATCCCACCCTCTCCACCCTCCCTCTCTCTCCTTCACCTCCCTCTCCCCTCCCCTCTTCTCCCTCCCTCTCCCCCTCCCCTCTTTCTCCCCTCCTTCCTCTTCCCCCCTCCTTCCCTCACCCCCTCCCTCACTCTCCCTCTTTCTCCTCCCTCTCCCCTCCCTCTCTCTCCTTCACTCCCTCTCCTCCCTCTTTCTCCCTCCCTCTCCCTCTGTCTCCTTCACTCCCTCTCTTCGCTCTGCCAGGAATAGTGCTTCATAATGCAGGACTCTACGCTGACCTTTCTTACAAGGAGCACATGTGCGCCTAAGTTGGAAAATGTAGGTGCATATGCGAGTAAAATGTTCTCACTGTAGAGCCCTGTAATGGCTGAACAACACGTCCCCTGCAGGGAAGGGAAGGGAGAGGCTGCCATCTTGGGGTAATTATGAAAGAGGGATTTATCCTGCCTGCTTTCCTGCCTGCCTGCCGCTGTCTGTCTGTCTCAGCCGACTCAATCCACAGGGCACATCACAGCAAACCTCACAGCAATGTATTATTTATTATATTTAACCTTTATTTAACCAGGTAGCCACATTGAGGACAGAAGACCTCTTTTCTAAGGGAGACTTGCATTGATGAGTGGTATGTGGACATCCATGCTGAATTAGAATAGTAATGTAGAACCAAAATAAATCAAAACTTTCTGAAGCAATGTACCAAAGGAGACAGAGGTTGTCAAACCCAGTTTAGCTGATGAAGACAGAAAATACACATCATGCGGTTACATATTCCTTAACCATATCTTTTAGGTGTGGTTTTTATATAAGCCCTCTTGGGCTTGTCTTCTTTTATGCGAATAAATCAAACTAAAACATGTCTGCCTATTCATGACCCCTTGCTCTTCCGCATCAAACAACATCAAACCTGAATCCCATCAAAGCAACACAACACAAATGCATCAGACATTTGCGTTTTACATTTTAGTGATTTAGCAGATGCTCTTATCCAGAGTGACTTACAGTTAGCACATTCATCTTAAGATAGCTAGGTGGGACAAGCACATATCACAGGCATAGAAAGTACATTTTTCCTCAATATCATAGCTATTAGTAGAGTCAGAGCTAGAAGGGGTGTCTCAGAAGCCATCTCAGAAGCCATCGCAAAAACAAAAACAGATAAGTAGGCTGGGATTAGTGCGCCCAGGGACTTGAGTCTACGAGGAGAGAGTGCGAGAGAGGATACTTTTTTCAGGGGAGATTTTTACTGATTCCCAAATAACACCCTATTTCCTTACATCCCTATGGGCCCCGGTCAAATGTATTGCACTATATAGGGAATACGGTGCCATATGTGACGCACACTTTTTCATTAGCAGCCAGGGCCACATTTGGCTTCTCACGGTGCTTCAGAACAAAGAGTGTGTCTGAAAGCAGGGAGCCTTGACGTGGAACGTGGCGCTCTAATTGGAGCCTTGATAATCCTCTCTCTCTCTCTCCCCCTCTCCCTCCCCCTCTCCCTCCCCAGTCTCGGCTGTGGAGCCAACAGTGTCAACAGGCTCTCTACTTTAAAAAAGGCACAGGGGAGTTATAGGGGAGCAGAGCGTCACTGTTCAGCCAGCCGTGGGCAGAGGCCTACTCAACACGCAGAGAGAGTGAGAGGGAAAGAGGGAGAGAGCATGTGAGAGGGAGAGAGAGAGAGAGAGAGAGAGTGCTAAAGAGGGGGTTAGCAAGCCAGCTCTGGGTGCTCCTCAGCGTGGCAGGGGAGTGGAGGAGTGATTGCAGGTAAGTAAGTTGGTACAAGTCATCTACTGACATGGACGAGGATGAGGATTAGGAGAATAGTTTAGAGAGGATGAAACTCAACGCAACTCACAGACATATGGGCAGCCTGCCCTTCACTCTATGGATCACATTATGTATTGCAGTGTTTCCCAACTCCAGTCCTCGAGTATTCCCAACAGCACAAATGTTTGTTGTAGCCCTGGACAAAAACACCTGATTGAACTTGTCAAGGGCTTGATGATTAGTTGACAAGTAGAATCAGGTGTGCTTGTCCGGGACGACGACAAAAAGATGTACTGTTGCGGGTACTCGAGGACCGGAGCTGGGAACTACTGGTGTATTGTATCATGGCTGGAGCCCGGAGGCTTAGAGAGAAGCACTAATCATATCAGCCTTGCTAGGGAGAGTCGTCAATGACTCAAAAAGGTCAGCTGGATATATCAGGATAGAAAAAGATGAAACACAGATATTGAAAGGACGGAAATATGTTGTTTCCATGTCAACATGAAGTACAGTAAGGATGGTTGATGTACAGGCCAAGGCTTGGGGAGAAATACAACAATCTTATAATTCTTCATGTACACACATACAGTGGCTTGCGAAAGTATTCACCCCCCTTGGCATTTTTCCTATTTTGTTGCCTTACAACCTGGAATTAAAATGTATTTTTGGGGGGTTTGTATCATTTGATGTACAAAACATGCCTACCACTTTGAAGATGCAAAATATGTTTTATTGTGAAACAAACAAAAAAACAGAAAACTTGAGCGTGCATAACTATTCACCCCCCCAAAGTCAATACTTTGTAGAGCCTCCTTTTGCAGCAATTACAGCTGCAAGTCTCTTGGGGTATGTCTCCATAAGCTTGGCACATCTAGCCACTGGGATTTTTGCCCATTCTTCAAGGCAAAACTGCTCCAGCTTCTTCAAGTTGGATGGGTTCCGCTGGTGTACAGCAATCTTTAAGTCATACCACAGATTCTCAATTGGATTAAGGTCTGGGCTTTGACTAGGCCATTCCAAGACATATAAATGTTTCCCCTTAAACCACTCGAGTGTTGCTTTAGCAGTATGCTTAGGGTCATTGTCCTGCTGGAAGGTGAACCTCCGTCCCAGTCTCAAATCTGTGGAAGACTGAAACAGGTTTCCCTCAAGAATTTCCCTGTATTTGTGCCATCCATCATTCCTTCTATTCTGACCAGTTTCCCAGTCCCTGCCGATGAAAAACATCCCCACAGCATGATGCTGCCACCACCATGCTTCACTGTGGGGATGGTGTTCTCGGGGTGATGAGAGGTGTTGGGTTTGCGCCAGACATAGTGTTTTCCTTGATGGCCAAAAAGCTCAATTTTAGTCTCATCTGACCAGAGTACCTTCTTCCATATGTTTGAGGAGTCTCCCACATGCCTTTTGGTGAACATCAAACGTATTTGCTTATTTTTTTCTTTAGGCAATGGCTTTTTTCTGGTCACTCTTCCGTAAAGCCCAGCTCTGTGGAGTGTACAGCTTAAAGTGGTCCTATGGACAGATACTCCAATCTCCGCTGTGGAGCATTGCAGCTCCTTCAGGGTTATCTTTGGTCTCTTTGTTGCCTCTCTGATTAATGCCCTCCTTGCCTGGTCCATGAGTTTTAGTGGGCGTCCCTCTCTTGGCAGGTTTGTTGTGGTGCCATATTCTTTTCTATTTTTTAATAATGGATTTAATGGTGCTCCGTGGTATGTTCAAAGTTTCGGATCTTTTTTTATAACACAACCCTGATCTGTACTTCTCCACAACTTTGTCCCTGACCTGTTTGGAGAGCTCCTTGGTCTTCATGGTGCCGCTTGCTTGGTGGTGCCCCTTGCTTAGTGGTGTTGCAGACTCTGGGGCCTTTCAGAACAGGTGTATATATACTGAGATCATGTGACAGATCATGTGACACTTAGATTGCACACAGGTGGACTTTATTGAACTAATTATGTGACTTCTGAAGGTAATTGGTTGCACCAGATTATATTTCGGGGCTTCATAGCAAAGGGGTGAATACATATGCATGCACCACTTTTCCATTATTAATTTTTTTGACATTTTTGAAAGAAGTTATTTTTTTCATTTCATTTCACTAATTTGGACTATTTTGTGTATGTCCATTACATGAAATCCAAATAAAAATCAATTTAAATTACAGGTTGTAATGCAACAAAATAGGAAAAACGCCAAGGGGGATGAATACTTTTGCAAGGCACTGTATGATATGTACAGTACATCTGTGACGAGGTGTGAATGAATGAGTCAGGCGCAGGAGGTAAAACACCGAAGTCCAGAGTTTATTCCGTTTACATATATAAAACGCACCCAGCGTGAAAACGAAACTATAACAAGGGAAAATATTCCACCTTGGCAAATACAAATGGAAGAGTAGCTCAACCGAGCTACTCGCTCTCACAATAAACAATCACTCACAAAGACATGGGGAACAGAGGGAACACTTATACACATACTAATTAGGGGAATGAGCACCAGGTGTGTGTGATTGACAACACAAGACATGACAAGTGGAGTGATGAGAATGGGATCGGCAGTAGCTAGTAAGCCGGTGACGACGAACGCCAAAACCTGCCCAAACAAGGAGGGGAGGCAGCCTCAGCAGAAGTCGTGACAACATCAATGGTACCACAGGTGAAATCCACTTGATCTAAGCAACAAACAAGGTCCCAGTATGTATGACAGCAAACAAACAAACAACAGTGGATGTAAACGTGGTTAAATTGTAGTTACTTACAGGACTGACACAATGTCATCTCGTCATACTTGGTAGTTTCTCACACTCCAGAGGTTCAGCAGCACCACGTCAGACCCTGTCACATTCCCCTCAGGATTCAGAGAGGGCTGAGGATACACACACACACGTACACACACAAACAAGATGAGTCAGACAAAAATATGAGGATCGGGGGGAAGTACAGCAGCATTGTCATTAGTGTCCTCCTGAACAGAAGTACAGCAGCAAAGGTCAAGGAAAGGACAACCAGGGGACTGACTGAACACATAACACACTGAATACCTCAGGGACCTATTGTTCTCAAAGGGACATATTGTTCTCAAAGTGACATATTCCTCTCAAAGTGACATTGTTCTCAAAGTGACATATCGTTCTCAAAGTGACATATCGTTCTCAAAGTGACATATCGTTCTCAAAGTAACATATTGTTCTCAAAGTAACATATTGTTCTCAAAGTGACATATTCTTCTCAGAAAAGAGAAGTGGCATCCTCCTGCCATGCCATACTGTGATGTCCTCCTGTGTCTACTGATTCACACTGACATATATGGGTGGAAAAACACAGTAGCCCTCTATAAAACATCTTACATTTCAAATTTAGTGGTTTGGAAAGGTTACTCAACCATATTAAATGTCAGATTAATGTGTGCATATATTATCTGCCATGGAATCTACATACTCAGTAGCAGTGGCGGCTCCTGAAAAAATTCTCAGGGGGGGCAATTTTTCTGATGATTTAGGTGACCTACACACATTTTTCAAAAGATATGTCCAGCAACAACATGAAGACAGGGGCAGCATATAAGTCAATACCAGAAGCATTTATTGACTGATCTCAAAAGTGTTGGCTTACAAAATCAAAATAAGTTATCACAGTAAAAATAATCAAGGGTGTTCTTTCACATTCCTCAACACTGCATAAACAATATGCATTTCCATAAACAAATGAAATATCAGCTGAAAATACAGCATCTTGGTATTTGTTCAGATTGCAGGATCAACAAGAGCTTTTACCACATTTTTTGCCTCATGGTTGAATTGGAAATATGTGCACCTGAGCATAATTCACAACAAGCAAGCAGGAGCTTTTGATAGAGGCTACTGAAAACATTGATGCAAGTTATTGGTAATAAGACATTTTTATAGACTTCCATATTCTGCCCTCTTGTATAGATTTGTGAAAATGAACAGTGATAGACATTTTGCCTGAAAACAGAATTTGAAAGTAATTTCTAGAAAAGGTAAACACAGCTATCTGTATGGCTTTGTAAAAACGAACAACCATATTCTGGCCAATTGTATAGATTTGTAAATATGAACAACCATATTCTGGCCAATTGTATAGATTTGTAAAAATGAACATGAACAGATTATTTTTTTTAAAACTTTTTTTTAAATGAAAAATAACTATTTTAAACAACATCAACTGTGAACTGATTTGGGCGTGTGTGTGTTAAAGAGACAGACAGGGAGGGACAAAGAGAGAGAGAGGCTACATTACTTGTACTGAAACTGTTCTCTTCTCTGTTTCAATACAGCAAAGCGTTCAATGACTTTCTCATTGAAATCAGGCATGCTGAGGACTAGTTCCCTCTCCATGGAAAGCATGGCCAGTGCATTCAGACGTTCCTGGCCCATTGAATTTCGCAGGAATGTCTTAACTCGTGTCAAAGTTGAGAAACATCTCTCAGCTTCAGCTGTTGTCATGGGAGTAGTTATGAGGATGTTCAACAGAGTCACAGTCTCAGAGAACGTCTCCTGGAGGTTGTAGCTCATGAGAACCTGGTACAGTGCCAGTGCACCACAGCATCCCTTGAATTCAGGATTCTCATAGATCAGAGATAGTTCTGTCTTGAGCTTTGCCTTGCTCAGCATGGGGTATGCATTCACAGTGGCATTCAGAGCCTCATCAGGAAATGAATGGCAGTACCTTTCAAACATGTCTGCTTGCAGTAAGGTAGCACTCACAAGGTGGCCAGAGAAAGAGAACCTTTCTTTGGTGTGATCCAGGATGGTGTTGCAGACCTCTTCAGACAGCCTCTGCTTCTCCTCTTCTCTCAAAGCTGTTCTGGGTCTTTTGGCTCCTGTTGCTTCTTGCAGCTGCTGTTGAGAGGAGTCCCTGAAGGCAAACAGACCAATGTGTTTGTTGGCTTTGTACAGTACTGTTGTCTATGTGATGCACAGGTATATGCAATGTATCCATGTATAGTACAAATACTTCAGTTCCACTTAAAATGGGCAGGGATGCATAAAGTCTTTAGTGTTTAAGTTAGCCTTTGTGTCTCACATAGCCTGGATGTTCAGCACAGTATACAGTGGTGCTCATAAGCTTATGATCCCATGCTAAAGTTGACTAAAAAGAGGAATAAAAAAGAAAATAAAATTGGTGTCCTTAAAGGTTGGATTTTCCAACTTTTTTAATTAAGTCATTAAGATCAATTTCCAAAAGATGATTTTTTAATTTTTTTATTCCTCTTTTTAGTCAACTTTAGAATGTGTTCATACACTTATGAGCACCACTGTACAGTACACATAGTATATAAAATAAGCTAGATTACACCACTGGCCATATATAATGAGAATAATGTAATTTCAAACACAAATGCAGTCTCCTTTCATGCATACATTTTCAAATAAAGCTCTGCTTTGAGAAAGATCGAATGATATTGTTTAATCTTACCTTATGGCCTGCACACTGCTTGTGAAGCTGTCGAGGGCACGTTTGATAAAGACAGCATCGATGTCCTTCTTCTGTAGCTTCTGGTACAGAATGTCGACGTGGGGCATGATTTTGTGAAAAAGCCGCAGGAAAAAAATAAAATCTTCATCATGTAGCATCCTCACGTAGCCAGATGCCTCTCTCACGGTGGGCTGGTCAAATGAACCCAATGAACCCGTCCGAATGGCTTCAAAACATTCTATGAGGTCGTCTCGATTCTCGTAGACAGTGTTCACGACTCTGCTTAGTAGAAACCTGTTGAATTATTAAATTTGGTCTGGGAGGTCCTAATTGTTTCGTTGCCAATTTATCTTGATTTGTTCGCCGACAAAAAGGAACTTCTTTCAAAGAGACAATCGAGTTGCACTGAAGGCTAGCCATTTTGACAGTAGTAGTGAATTGATTGATGAGGCTACCCGCTCTTTTCTTAGTTACGTTCATGGTTATGTTACGTATGACGAAAGCGCGTAAGTGCAAGCCCTCAGAAACCCATAGAGATTGTATTGAAAGCTCTGATATTTGAAAAAAATTGATTTTACATTAGAGGCTATGAGAGACTTCTGGGCGATTTTCAACCTGACTGAAATCGCCCCAAAACGGGCGGGGACATTTGTAGCACGACTTTAGCCTGATTGGACATTTAGTGGCAGATCAGACGTCTAGATTAGAACACTGATAACTACTGTTGCTGTGATATAATTGATTAGAAAAAAAAAACTTCCTTTTCCCGTTTGGCAGTGCGTCGCCCATATCGCCCTAATGAACACACCGCCCCTGCTCAGTAGCATTCTACATTTCAAGAAGCATTTTAAGAAGCATACAGCATTCAAAGAAGCATTCTGCATTCTAAGAAGCATTCAGCATTCTGAGAATAGGTCTATCAGCTCTATGTTCAGATTATGAGATCAGGGTCCATATCCACCAAGTGTCTCAGAGTAGGAGTGCTGATCTAGGATCTGAGTGCTGATCTAGGATATGTCCAGATAATCGTATTCATTATGATCTAAAAGGCAAAACTGATCCTAGATCAGCACTCCTACTCTGAGATGCTTTGTGGATACGGGCCCAGGGGTCAGAATTGTCCTGAGACATGGCTGTAGGCTAACTAGCTTCATAAGATTCTAAAACCATACAACTCAGGAGCATGGCAAAGGTCAGTACAGAGGTCAAGAAGAATCTATTCCACAACACATGCATACAGAATGATGCACAACACACCTACAGTGTGTTACAGAGTACAGTCGTGGTCAAAAGTTTTGAGAATGACACAAGTATTGGTCTTCACAAAGTTCGCTGCTTCAGTGTTATGAGATATTTTTGCCAGATGTTACTATGGTATACTGAAGTATAATTACAAGCATTCCATAAGTGTCAAAGGCTTTTATTGACAATTACATTAAGTTTATGCAAATAATCAATGCTTGGAGTTTGTCCGAATTTGTGGGTTTTTGTTTGTCCACCCGCCTCTTGAGGATCGACCACAAGTTCTCAATAGGATTAAGGTCTGGGGAGTTTCCTGGCCATGGACCCAAAATTTCGATGTTTTGTTCCCCGAGCCACTTAGTTATCACTTTTGCCTTATGGCAAGGTGCTCCATCATGCTGGAAAAGGCATTGGTCGTCACCAAACTGTTCTTGGATGGTTGGGAGAAGTTGCTCTCGGAGGATGTGTTGGTACCATTCTTTATTCATGGCTGTGTTCTTAGGCAGAATTGTGAGTGAGCCCACTCCCTTGACTGAGAAGCAACCCCACACATTAATGGTCTCAGGATGCTTTACTGTTGGCATGACACAGGACTGATGGTAGCGCTCACCTTGTCTTCTCCGTACAATGTGTTTTCCGGATGCCCCAAACAATCGGAAAGGGGATTCATCAGAGAAAATGACTTTACCCCAGTCCTCAGCAGTCCAATCCCTGTACCTTTTGCAGAATATCAGTCTGTCCCTGATGTTTTTCCTGGAGAGAAGTGGCTTCTTTGATGCCCTTCTTGACACCAGGCCATCCTCCAAAAGTCTTCGCCTCACTATGCGTGCAGATGCACTCAAACCTGCCAGCTGCCATTCCTGGGCAAGCTCTGCACTGGTGGTGCCCCGATCCCGCAGCTGAATCAACTTTAGGAGACGGTCCTGGTGCTTGCTGGACTTTCTTGGGTGCCCTGACGCCTTCTTCACAACAATTGAACCTCTCTCCTTGAAGTTCTTGATTATCCGAATAATGGTTGATTTAGGTGCAATCTTACTAGCAGCAATATCCTTACCTGTGAAGCCCTTTTTGTGCAAAGCAATGATGATGGCACGCGTTTCCTTACAGATAACCATGGTTAACAGAGGAAGAACAATGATTTCAAGCACCACCCTGCTTTTAAAGCTTCCAGTCTGTTATTCTAACTCAATCAGCATGACAGAGTGATCTCCAGCCTTGTCCTCGTCAACACTCCTACCTGTGTAAACGAGAGAATCCCTGTCATGATGGCAGCTCGTCCTTTTGTGGCAGGGCTGAAATGCAGTGGAAATGTTTTTTGGGGATTAAGTTCATTTTCATGGCAAAGAGGGACTTTGCAATTAATTGCAATTCATCTGATCACTCTTCATGACATTCTGGAGTATATGCAAATTGACATCATCAAAACTGAGGCAGCAGACTTTGTGAAAATTAGTATTTGTGCCATTCTCAAAACTTTTGACCACAACTGTACATCAGGGTTGGACACATTCAGACAGAACCTCCCAGATTCGTTTCCTACTGAACAAACCCACCAAAATTCTCTTCTCTAACCAGTGACTCCATAAACAAGCCTAAATCAACCATTTCACTCTCAGTGTGAGACGAAACTCCACAGGATTCTCCAACAACCATAACTGCAACTATTGTACAATAATATAGGCCTATAGGCCATTAAATCCCCCCCAGAAATAATTTGTTCTTACAACTTAGTTTGTCACAAACTGTTTGTGTCACTTTATCGAAGAGCTAGTGTGTGACAAAGCCCCACTCCAAGCGGCGGGTGACATGACACAGGCAGAATGATTCATTAAACAGGATGTGCACAGGCCATTTCACGCTTGCTGAGGTAATTGACAGAATATCTCTTATCTGTCTGCTGAAAATAAATATCCCTACGAGTGCTGCCAGCCACGGAATTTATCTGTTACATTTGGATATGTTATCATTTTCACGTTTAGTCATATTTTACCATATTACATGCTGTATTGTCTAGCTTGCTAGCTGGAAAGCACCCTAGAATTGATAAAAACTGAAAAACAACAACACCAGAAATTTGAATAAAATAAGACTGTCTGGTCAACAATTCAATCTTGTGCTGCAGGCAGCCTAAGGCAAGACATGGGGTTTTGTGAGGGCTATAACAGTCTTGTAGGAGGAGAGGCCAAGTAAAGCAACTGTCTGTCTATGCAACTTTAACATAGAGAAATCTGAACAACTCCAACAGTGTAAACAGCCTTCAGTATGTGAACGTACTGATTCACTAAGTAGTATTATAGGATGAGAGGAGAGAGATCAATAACCATCTTCTTCAGGCAAACATTAGTTGTTACATTTCACAATGTATTTCTTAGAAAACAATATAAATAATAGGTAACTATCTGTAATTGGACATCATGAGGGATGGTACAAAGGAAACAAGAACTATGGTGTGGTGAGTGATTTTGAAGGAATCACAGAATAAAAGGTTTATTCTGAAAACACAGTGGTACGCAACAATGCATCAAACACTCAAAACAACAAGGCGAATGGTGAAATATCCCAGCGATACAACATACAAAGAGCTCCACCGAGCTAATCTAACCTCCACAATTAACAATCAAACACAAAGACAAGGGGGCAGAGGGAACACTTATACAGGTACTGATGAGGGGATATGAACCAGGTGTGTGTAATAAACAAGACAAAATAAATGGAATGATGAGATGAGGAGCGGCAGTGGCTAGAAGGCCGGTGACGACGAACGCCGAAGCCTGCCCGAACAAGGAGAGGAGGCAGCTTCGGAGGAAGTCGTGACATATGGACTGACATTTTCATTTGACTTGACTGAAGCATGTCTTTATTTAGGAATTTCAATTCTTCTTCTATAGAAATCCAGATTTATTTTATCAGTGATGGAGCTCCTACAAGGCCCTTCAGTTCCCATGTTAGAAGGCTATCGCGCTGTATGGATTCTCTAGTCAACCTTTCCCAAGAGGCTGAAGTTGCCATCCAACACTGAACACGGAGGACAAGACCCAGCCAATGAGGTGAAACCAATGGGTCTTAATTGCCTGACTTCCTTATCTTGATACCTGTATAGCTACATGTGTATACCTCTAGATTAACTCTGTTTGACAGCAGAATGAAACATGGGTTTGAGTATTTATGATTGCATTAAAAATAAAGGTTGAAAACAAGTGAGGTGAGGTGAGGCCAATATTTTCCATTGTAAAGAGAACCTCTCCCTCTAGTTTTTTTGTAAGATATGTTTGTATATTGTGTTGTAATTGTTGTAAATTTATTGGTCCTCAACTTACCCATTTTATTGGTCTTTACGGTATGATGCCTAGATTTCATTAACTCTGTGGGGCTTTGAAAAAGTACAATAAGATCAGAAGGAATTGATGGGGGGGAGAGAAAGAGAGAGAGACAGAGAGAGAGAGTCTCACCTGCATTGAAGCTCCCTCTACTCGTGCTACATAGGCGAAGAGGTCCAGAACAGTGATGGTGACTGGCACTGCCATGAAGAAGCCGCTCACGAACGCCAGGATATACGTGCGCTCAGCCCCGCCTGCTGAGCCATCACCTGGGACAGAAGAACACATTTCAGCCAATCACCATCAAAGAAACCATCAGAATGGGAACACTGCCATAAGAACTTGGCATGCAACAACCAATGGAGAATCAGATAGTAGGGAGTTTGTATTGAGAAGATCAGAATGTAATTTGTGTAATTTCTCACTCAGAGAGTACATATTGCATGCAGGCATTTTTCATACTCTGTTCTCTGAGAGGACAGCAGGACGGCCAGACAAGTGTGAAATAACACAGTGACACAGACAGACCAAAGACCATAGACAGGCTAATGCATCAGTGGCTTTGAATAACACAACCACCTCAGCCCTATACTACTAAGCAGGTTTGAGGAGTTAGCGAGGTAACTTTGGTCAACTCTGAGTTCAACTCGGGATAACCGGTCATATGAAAGTGGCTCACCTTTCAGCCAGGTAGAGAATCCTTCAGAACTAACCTGCTCCTTGTCAGGCTAACTCACGGCTAACTCCACTTACCCTGAATGAAAATGGGTAAGTTGAGGACCAATAAATTTACAACAATTACAACACAATATACAAACATATCTTACAAAAAAACTAACAAATAAAGGACCAATGAAATCAGATTCCCTCTCTGAAAGATTGAGTCATCATCCCCTTCATTTGAGGAAGACGACTGATTTAAATATTTTATTAATCAAAATGTTATTGTTGTTCAAAATAGTCATTAAAATACTTATCACATTACACATTTAGTAATGGCATGATGCATTTGAAAGTTCACGCACAGTAAATTATTTGTATCAATAAACCTGTTTGGGGAAAAAGGTGCTTGTGCATTGATAACGCCAAATCACATCAAAGACGGCCTTAACGATAGCAACAAAAGAAAACGGCACCTATTTCACAGCATAGCCTGCTGAATTTCCAAGATAACTTTTCTTTCATGTTTATTTCGGCAGAAATGACTCACCAATGGATTGATAGTTCAACATTGTCTCAATGAATAGTTAGGCATTTGACTAGCCATGTGCGACATGCACATGCAGTTACAAGCCTGCTTGAGTTAGCTGCAGCTGCAAGATCAATATCCACCTTCGTAGTATGGATGAAGCCTGAGCTGGAATGTGAAGCTAACTGAAGCTGGCTAGCTTTATAAAAGCCTGAATAGATCTAGCTTCAATAGTAGTATACCCGTCTGGCAGATACTCAAACTTTGTTGCTTCCTCTTCAGAGGGCAGGTGCATCAAAGAGGCCTTGGTGGTTCATGTCCTTACCTAATACTATGCTTATTAACTTCAACTCAGCACACCTAGCACCCATTTGTGAGAATGTCAAATAAAGTCTACATAAAAGATTGATAGTGTTTCCCGAACTGGTGTCCTGGCTGTCTGAAATCCTAGTCAAAACAAAACACATATCGCAACATAGCAGTGGCTATTGCTTTGAAAGAATAACAGCCCTCTGAGCAAATACTGTTTGCACACGGCTGGTGAAAATTGTCAACAATATTAGTTGTTTCAAAATAGTTTAATTGTTATTTGAACTTCCTTGATACAGTGTTGCATCAACCTGTTGGGCTAGTTGGTTGAATGTGCAAAATGTAGGCTAGCCTAAATCAACGTGCACAGCTTTTTGACAAACATTGTTACTGAATGTTATTGAATAGGTAGGTACCAGTATTGTCCCCCACCTCAAAAGTGTTTCCACTCAGGGAGATAGAAACCTTAGAAGTATAATAATAGAAGCCTTTCAAACAGACAGAACAGAGGAGAAAAGAACAGGAGACAGGAGACAGGTAGACACGGACAGAACAAGATCCGCTCAAGGACACAACCGCCTAACCAATTAATGGTCAACTGCCCCTTAGAACCAATTTATCTGGTTTTAAACAGCCTATGTTACATCGATATGAGTCAGATACATTAATTATAGTGTCAAATTTGACTACAAAGTGTAAATAGGATCATTTTGGTCAAAACAGAGTTTTATAACTGAGTTCGTCACGACGTACTGGAGGGTTGGGTATGGATTCCTTACATGCCCTCTATTGCCAATGATGCCCAATTGCACAGAGACAACACATTGTGGTCTGCCCCCAGCTGCCATGTGGACATCTGTTGTCAAGTCTGCATATTAGGGCCGGGAATTGCCAGGGAACTCACGATACAATATTATCATGATACTTAGGTGCCGATACAATATGTATTGCGATTCGATACTGTGCTTTTATTGCGATTCAATGTTCCAAACATATTGCTCACCATATGTCTGCTGCAGAGGGACAAGAGGGAGTATGAGAACAAGTTTTGATCACTCATGGAAATAAAAGTGCTGAAAACAAATTGGGCAATTATTATTTTTTAAGATGAAGAACAAGCTATGAAGACAAAACGTTTTTGTGCAGGTACTGCCAACTCGCAGAAAAATAATATTGCGATAGTCAAAACCATACGGTATATTGTCAAAAATAATTTCCCAATATGTACATAACTGTATCGATTTCCCCCGACAAATAGAACTGAAAATGGGCTTCCATAAAAGTTATTCAACAATCTTGGGCAGATGGCCAGGATATGGATTACATCCGACTAGCTTCTACTTGGGCTGTCAACCGTCAAATCTGAGACTGGTGTGTTGTTGGTAAGTAGCCAAGTCTTGTTTATAGCTAGCTAGCTACATGTCATTATTTTGATAGCCTAGTATCACAATGACATAGCCTATGATACTGTGATGTAGCTAACCAGTGAAATACATAGCCTCTCCCTAATGTTTAATGTGAGAGGAAGATTTGCATGGCTAACATTGCACCTGAAGACAGGTTCGATCCAGCTAGCTAGCTATGTTTGATGCATGTTGCCACCTTGCTTTCAATAATGTTTCAACTCGAACTGGCTAGCTACTGTAAGAGCCCTGCTTAATAATAAAGCAAACTTGCTAGCTAGCATTTGAGTGCTTCAGCTAACCCCTAAAACGATGCCAACAAGCAATAACATTATTGTGTATTTTCTAGGGCAAAAATAATGATGACAGTTCACCAGATAAGGAGGCAGTGGCCAGACACCAGTCCTATTTAAGAGTAAAGATGGACATGACCGCCATTAATAATGTAATCAGTGATGTGTGTGTTTGTGTCTTGTATGTTATAAGGAGGTGCCCCCCCCCCCATCTATGGTGCGCAATGGACTACTCCTGGGCCAGGGTGAGTAATGCCAACCAGTCAGTGCCATGCTGGCACATGTGCCTTGTGAATTAGCTGTGAATCATAATCTCTGCTTGGCTATGTTCAACCGTGTATTTACTGTTGGATTCCATGACTGTATGGTGACAGTTTTTCTCTCCCTCTCTCTTTCTGTGATAGGAGCTGGCTTGGATCTGTAAGTCAGGCTCTTTCATGACCAGTATCTGTGACGAGAGGGGTCTGGAGCTGATCTACTGGCTCTGACAAACAAGTCAGAAGGGACAAAAGGTTATTACTAATAAGACAGGACATCACAAGTGTTTAGTAATATCAAAATCACCTTTATTCACCAAATACATTTGTATATACAGGAATTTGACTAAATAAACAGAATTTACAGACAGACAAATTGAATATACGGACAAGATAACACCACCCTTTCAATACGTGTCACTCATCAACTCTATATTGTTTTTCTACAGATGGAGGACAGAAGTGAGGCTTTGGTCATGGAGTCCTCTGACAGAAAGACAGGTTGATACTGATTTTGTACTCAGCAATAAAATGATACAAGACACACCTATTACTTTTCAATGTGAATGACAATAAAATATGAAAGACAAGTTTAATATTTGCACATAGTTATATTAGCAGAACACTGCTTCTACAGTATTATATGAAGGATGGTTTATTCTACATGGAACTGTTACACTTGAAAGTTATCATAACATTTTGTTTAGAATAATTTTTAAGTTCAGCAATTATGTTATTCTCATATTACTCTGTAGGCTACTCAGTACAAGTAGAGCCATCCTCCTGCATCTCACATCTGCCTGGAGTTACTGAACTCTGCCTGCTGGACCCAAGAGGCAAACTATGTCATATCCAAGATGGAGTGTCAAGAACTCCATCCCACCTGCCACCTGACTGTACATGTCCATAACCTGTAATATATTACATAGATGGAAGGGACTTCATCACCCACTGGAGACTTGAAGACAAAACCTCACCCAGAGAGCTGTGCATGTCAGTGTATTAAACAGCTAAATCCTTAGATTTGGGCAAATAGACCATAGAAATAGAAATGCCATTCTAGTTCTGGCTAGACAGCTGAAGTTATACTCTACACACAACTGATTTTGATTTGTTAGGTAACGTGTAGGCATACTGTCTTTATAAGCAATATGATATATACAGCAGAAAATGTTTTGTCTTTGTAACACGAACACATCCATCGACTTGTTGTTGATGTATCTACACTCAAGCTGGGCGATGTTTGTGCCATATAAATATAATTCATTATATTTATATGGTTTGTGCAATGTCCACTGGTGGCCTACACCTGCAGGGATATTAGTTATGTGATTTGTCTCCCGGGAAAAGATCTAACAGTGGACATAAGGATAGACAAGACGAGACAAAACTAGCCAGTTATAGAATATTGTGTTGTAGGACTCGCAGTAGTTGATATCGCTTCCACAGTAAGATGTATTTACAGTGGGGGAAAAAAGTATTTAGTCAGCCACCAATTGTGCAAGTTCTCCCACTTAAAAAGATGAGAGAGGCCTGTAATTTTCATCATAGGTACACGTCAACGATGACAGACAAAATGAGAAAAAAAAATCCAGAAAATCACATTGTAGGATTTTTTATGAATTTATTTGCAAATTATGGTGGAAAATAAGTATTTGGTCACCTACAAACAAGCAAGATTTCTGGCTCTCACAGACCTGTAACTTCTTCTTTAAGAGGCTCCTCTGTCCTCCACTCGTTACCTGCATTAATGGCACCTGTTTGAACTTGTTATCAGACTAAAAGACACCTGTCCACAACCTCAAACAGTCACACTCCAAACTCCACTATGGCCAAGACCAAAGAGCTGTCAAAGGACACCAGAAACAAAATTGTAGACCTGCACCAGGCTGGGAAGACTGAATCTGCAATAGGTAAGCAGCTTGGTTTGAAGAAATCAACTGTGGGAGCAATTATTAGGAAATGGAAGACATACAAGACCACTGATAATCTCCCTTGATCTGGGGCTCCACGCAAGATCTCACCCCGTGGGGTCAAAATGATCACAAGAACGGTGAGCAAAAATCCCAGAACCACACGGGGGGACCTAGTGAATGACCTGCAGAGAGCTGGGACCAAAGTAACAAAGCCTACCATCAGTAACACACTACGCCGCCAGGGACTAAAATCCTGCAGTGCCAGACGTGTCCCCCTGCTTAAGCCAGTACATGTCCAGGCCCGTCTGAAGTTTGCTAGAGTGCATTTGGATGATCCAGAAGAGGATTGGGAGAATGTCATATGGTCAGATGAAACCAAAATATAACGTTTTGGTAAAAACTCAACTCGTCGTGTTTGGAGGACAAAGAATGCTGAGTTGCATCCAAAGAACACCATACCTACTGTGAAGCATGGGGGTGGAAACATCATGCTTTGGGGCTGTTTTTCTGCAAAGGGACCAGGACGACTGATCCGTGTAAAGGAAAGAATGAATGGGGCCATGTATCGTGAGATTTTGAGTGAAAACCTCCTTCCATCAGCAAGGGCATTGAAGATGAAACGTGGCTGGGTCTTTCAGCATGACAATGATCCCAAACACACCGCCCGGGCAACGAAGGAGTGGCTTCGTAAGAAGCATTTCAAGGTCCTGGAGTGGCCTAGCCAGTCTCCAGATCTCAACCCCATAGAAAATCTTTGGAGGGAGTTGAAAGTCCGTGTTGCCCAGCGACAGCCCCAAAACATCACTGCTCTAGAGGAGATCTGCATGGAGGAATGGGCCAAAATACCAGCAACAGTGTGTGAAAACCTTGTGAAGACTTACAGAAGACGTTTAACCTGTGTCATTGCCAACAAAGGGTATATAACAAAGTATTGAGAAACTTTTGTTATTGACCAAATACTTATTTTCCACCATAAATTGCAAATAAATTCATTAAAAATCCTACAATGTGATTTTCTGGATTTTTTTTCTCTCATTTTGTCTGTCATAGTTGACGTGTACCTATGATGAAAATTACAGGCCTCTCTCATCTTTTTAAGTGGGAGAACTTGCACAATTGGTGGCTGACTAAATACTTTTTTTCCCCACTGTACATGACGTGATGAAACGTTGAAACTAAGTTGCAAGCTACTTTAGTAGCAAGGCTTTCCAGACACTGGCTCTTGCTATCTTGCCATAACCAGTGTTGGGGAAGCTACTCTGAAAATATAGTTTACCAAGCTACCAATTACTTCAAACTGGAAGAAGTTAAGCTACACTAAAGCTACCCTTAAGAAAAATATAGTTACTTTGAAAAAGTAGTTCACCACATCCAAACTACTTCATGATATATCATATCTAAATCTGAAATGTCATAGACTACAAATTGCAAGAACAGATCACTCTGGAGTCAGATGTTAACAGAATGTGTAATTTAGCCTATTAAACATAAAAGCTGTTTCAAGTGAGAATTAGGCAGGTCTGATGTCGAAAAAGAAAGGACAATTCTTGCCTACTTCATCCATAATGTATTTATTTTTGTGTGTAGTTCCAGTAGTTAGCTACACCGCTACATGGCAAAAAGGTAATTAACTACTGAAAACACTACCAAGATTTGAATTTAGTTCAACTACCACCAAGCTACTGCAAAATGTAGTTAAATTACTAGTTCAACTACATTTAGTTCACTGCCCATAACTGACAGAGAAATATCAGCTAGATAGGATAGCCAGCTGCAACTATCACCAAGCTATGCTAGCTAGCTGATGTCAGCTTGGCTAAACACAAGGTCAGCGCAGGCTTTAGCCTACAAATAGAACTGAGTTAGCTGACCATCTTGAGATGGCAAGTCAGTCAGGAGGGGAGAAGTCCTCAACTTCAAAACCTTGTTCTCTCCATAGCAAAGCTAGCTTAGCTTACCTCACTGTACTCACTACTGCACTTGTTTGTTGTGATTGAATGACAAAGACACACCCAAGATTGTTACGCATATTATTTGTTAGCAAAGTACGTTAAGCATATGTTTTTCTTTCAGTTTCCTCCATCTCCACTATCAGAAGTTAATTGTAAAGATTTTTTTCTATTAGTGATGTAAAATGAATAGCTGTACAGAAAGACTAATGTGAAGGCCAAATTACAGAGGAGGAACTTCTTGATGCAATTAAAGCCTTTAAGTCTGGGAAAACTACAGGGCTGGATGGCATACAAGTTGAGGTATATCAAACCTTTTTTGATGTACGCAGAGGACCGTTATTAGCATGTTTTAACCACTCCTATAAACATTTTAGATTATCAGATACTCAACAAGGTCTGATTTCACTATTACTGAAACAGGACCCAGGTGGTAAATATAAAGATCCAGTACATTAAAAAAATTGGAGGCCCCTTACACTTCAATGTTGTGATGCAAAACAAAATGCTAAATGCAAAGCGCATAGAATTAAAAAGGTATTGTCGGATATTATTCATCCTAATCAGACAGGTTTTTTACGTGGACAATGCATTGGAGATAATATAATAGAAAGTTAGCAACAATAGATAAGATCTTGCTACCATGGAAAGGAAAATACCTGTCTATTTGTGGAAAAATAACCCCGATTAACTCTTTAGTCATATCCCAGTTTACCTATTTGCTTATGGCCCTGCCTAAACCGAACGACTTGATTTTTAAATTATATGAACAAAACATTTTCAATTTAATTTGGAATGGCAAGCCAGACAAAATAAAAACAGGCCTATTTATATAATGAATATGAATTTGGAGGGCAGACATTTTTTTAAATTAAAGCATTAGACCTCTCACTAAAGGCTTCAGTCATACAAAAGCTATACTTAAATCTGAACTGGTTCTCTAGCAGATTAGTAAGAATGGCTCACCCTGTGTTCAAGAAAGGCCTTTTCCCTTTATTCAGATTGCAACCTCTCACTTTCGGTTATTTGAAATTAAAGCTATTTTTAAAACAAGCCATAGAAAGTTGATTGCAATTTCAGTTTAATCCACCAGAAAAGACAGAACAAATACTACAAGAAATATTATGGTTAAACTCAAATATACTAATTGATAAAACAAACATTATATATATATTTTAACTGTATAATCTTTGTAAATGATATCATAAATATAACTGGTGGAGTTATGTCACACATGCAGCTAACAAAAATATATGGAAATGTCTGCTCTATCCAAAATTACAACCAACTAATTGCAGCATTACCGCAAAAATTGAAGAGGCAAGCGGAAAGGGGAAAAAGTAAGGAACTTGTCTGTTGGCCCTGCATTAAAGACCAAAATTGGTTAAAGAAAATTGTGATCAATAAAAAAGTATACCAGTTGACCAAAAAATTGACAGCTGTGTCATACAGATTGCAAAATAGTTGGGAAGAGATTTTTGATGTACCGATTCCATGGCACATGGGTGACTCATTTTAGGAAACTAAGTGTATGTCGCGCGTCACTACTTCACAGGAGATGCATTTAAAACATTTAAAAAAATTATTTTTATAAAAATGCCTTTATTTTTATAAAAATGACTTTATTTTTATAAAAATGCCTTTATTTTTATAAAAATGCCTTCTGGAACATGTGAACTGTCATGTTCCTTAATAACAAACTTGTATGGCATCTGTAAATATGAATAGAATTGTTAAATTACGAGCCTAGTTGGTTTAGCTACAGAAAAAGACAGGAACCTTCCCGCTACATTTACATTTACATTTTAGTCATTTAGCAGACGCTCTTATCCAGAGCGACTTACATTTAGTGAGTGCATACGTTATTATTTTTTATTATTTTTTCATACTGGCCCCCCGTTGCAAACGCCATGCTCTACGAACTGAGCTACATCCCTGCCGGCCATTCCCTCCCCTACCCTGGACGACGCTGGGCCAATTGTGCGCCGCCCCATGGGTCTCCCGGTCGCGGCCGGCTACGACAGAGCCTGGATTGGCTGAGATAATGGATGGGCTGGACATGCCGAGAGATGAGTTCAGATTGGTCTCCCTTGTAGCACGCTTCTGCCTATAACGTGAGATGCTCAGT